AAATGCATAAGGTTGTGGGTGAACTACAACTCACATTATGCTACGTTAACCCCCTGAAACTTCATAAATACTTAAAAGTTTATTATGTTGAGCAAGTTTGCTCTAGATGCATCATTGATGGGGTTTCGTGTGTTCTCTGGCTGCAGGATAAACTACAACTCCCACTATGGTGAATCAGCCCCCCCCCCAAAAAAAAACCCCTCCAGTATTTTCAGTTAGTTATGGGGGTTCTGTGTACCAAGTTAGGTCCAGGCCTATTATCACTGGGGTGCAGTGCTCTTTGATTGCAGGTGAACTATAAATCCCCGTACCCACAACTAACAAATGTCAAGGCCAATTCCCTCCCAAACCCACCAGTATTCACATTTTGCCATATTGGGTATGTATGCCGAATTTGGTGCAGATCTCTTGGTGTTTGGGTTCACAGTGCTCTCTGGATGTAGGTGAACTATAATTCCTACAAATTAAGGTGAATTTTCCCCCAAGCCCTCAAATCTTTCCACCAAGAGTCCACTCACCTTGCCAATGGTGCTTGTAATCGCAGGTGCGGGACAAAGCAATGAGCATGGCGACGAAGAGGGGGGCGAGGAAGGCACAGAGGCGCCAGGACTGGCCCTGTCCACCTGGAGCAAAGCAGCGCAGCTTCCCGGCAATGTAGAAGGAACCAAAGGCCAAGCCTGCAAAGGCAACTGAAACATGGGAAGAAGCATCATAACCTCCAACAATGCAAACTAGGATGACTCTACTTAGCAATGCTCTTGTTTAAGGACACTTTCACACTATTTATTTATTTAAAACATTTATATTCTGCCCTTCTCACCCCAAAGGGGACTCATGGCGGAGCACAGCGTATACACGGCAAAAATTCAATGCCGGGACACAAATTCACATACACATACATAAACATTAAAAAACATTTATCAAAATATTAAAATACACCTTTTAAAACCGACCTAGTCATCCACGTCAAATCTAATTGGCCTGGTCATCTTTTCTATTGCTGCTTTATTGCCCTGTCCTGAAAGCTTAGTCCCACAGCCAAGTTTTGACCATCCTTCTAGAGGACAGGAGAGAGGGGGCCGACCGGATCTCACCAGGAAGGGAGTTCCATAGCCGGGGAGCAATCACCGAGAAGGCCCTGTGTAGTGAAATCTACCTTTTAGGCGACCAGACCAAAGCCTGAATATCAGTAGCTGTCATCTTGGAAGACAGGCAGTAGCAGGAGGAGGAGTCAAGCCGACTCCTGATTGGGTAGAGCAATTAGGGGAGGAGTCGGCTGAGAGAGGGAAAAAGTCTGTCAGCTTTTGACAGAGAGAGAAGTGTCTTAACATCAGCCACAGAAGGATAGGACTTTAGGAGAGGAAGCTAAAATAGGGTTCTGACAGGAAAGAAGAGTTTTTAAAGTGAGCCTTAAGGTTAGGGAATAAGGTTAAGACAAAGGCTAGGGTTTTACTGTGTTGAGAGGACCAGTAAAAGAGAGTTTTGTCTTATTAAGCTTAGGAGAAGTTTAAAATATCTTATTGCCCTGTGTGTGAGACAGACAGGAGTCTGTTTTCTAAGAGTTACTGTTTCTAAGGATAGAACAGTGTGTTTAAGGAAACTCACAGTTTTAAAAGCTTCATGGTCAGTAGAATTAACTGTTTAATACAACTAAGTCTCAGCAACTGAATTACGCTTCTGTACCGCTCACTCTATGAGTAGATGTTTGTTTAAAGCTCAATAAACCTTTTCTAGTTCACTTTTAACTGGTGTCAGCTTCAGTTTGTCAAGTACTTTTAAAGTCCAGTCAGCCAGTGAAGAAGCAAATAGAAAATCCAAGGGCAAACACACCTTACCTAAAACACATTCACACCTTTGGTTTCTCAGACCAATAAAGCTGAGGTGGTGGCGGCTAATACTACCAATAACATCGGTCTTTTATAATACTTTGTCATCCCTTGCTTTGGGGGCAGAGGTGGGATTCTTTGTCCCCCCTGCCCAGAGATATCTTTTAATTTCGTTATACCCTGTCTCTCGTCTCCACCAATTGGGTCTGTGACAATGGCGGGATGGAAAGCAGGGCTTCCCCGGAGGATCTTAATCTCCACAATGGTTCGTAGGGGGAGATGTGTTCAGACAGGTAAATTGGGCCGGGGGCATTTAGGGCTTTATAGGCCAAAGCCAGCACTTTGAATTGTGCCCAGTAGCAAACTGGCAGCCAGTGGAGCTGGCGTAACATGCGAGTTGTGTGCTCCCTGAATGCCGCCCCAGTTATTAACCTGGCCTTTTCTGTGAGATGTGCATTGTATAAAGGGGCATTGGGAATCCTCAGCCAGTGCGCTCCAGCTTTTGACCACTTCAGTCGCTCTTCTCTGGACACACATTCCAGGTTATCAATATCCTTCTTGAATCGTGGTGCCCAGAAATGTGAGGTACACAAAGTATTATGTTATTGTTGTTGAAACTTCAAATATGATGTCATATGACAGGTTCATCTATATATATAAAAATGTGAACGTCGTCCTGAGTGGTTCAAAAACGGAAAAACTGATCTTTCAGGGATTTGCTCCTGAATACTGTGTAGAAAAAGTGAACTTCAACTCCTGAGCCTGGCTGCAACCTACCAAACGACACAGATACTCACATGAGGAATGTCCGCTGGGGAAACTCTTGCGCCCTTCGGTCACCACGTCTGCATCACCCGTGCATAGTAGCTGAAGGGTTTCCCGGCCATCTGGAAAGCAGCGGTAGAAGAAATCTGGCCGTGGCCTAGAGTGAGGACGAGAAACAAAGGATGAAGCTGAGACTGACAAGAGATAAAGGAACTGAGAGCAGCAGGAGAAGCACAGACCGGGGGGGGGGGGGGG